CTCGGCTCACCGCAACCTCCGCCTCCTGGGTTCAGGCAATTCTCCTGCCTCAGCCTCCTGAGTAGCTGGGATTACAGGCACGCGCCACCATGCCCAGCTAATGTTTTGTAGTTTTAGTAGAGACGGGGTTTCACCATGTTGACCAGGATGGTCTCGATCTCTGGACCTCGTGATCCACCCGCCTCGGCCTCCCAAAGTGCTGGGATTACAGGCTTGAGCCACCGCGCCCGGCCTAGGAAGAATTTTTAATAACTGGTGAGGGGATAACTTAATATCCATAGCAGAAAAGAAGTAATCTCTACTCAAACTTCACAACTGTACAGACATTAGCTCAACATTGACCATAGCCTAAATGCAAAATATCAAACCATAAAATGTTATCCTGTAAGAGACTGAAAGAAAAAACTTCACAGAATAAAATCTTAAGAATCAAGAGCTTGTTCAAAAATTCGTAGCCATGTCATCAAAAGCATGATTCATTAAAGAAAAAATAAATAAATGAACAAATAAATAAAAGAAAAAATCAATCAACTGGTATTTACCAAATTAAAAACTTTTGGTCTGTGAAAGACCTTAAGATAATGAAAGAAAAGGTATTTGATATAGTTTGGCTCAGCGTCCCCACCAAATCTCTTCTTGAATATAATCCTCATGTGTTGAGGGAGGGACCTGGTGGGAGGTGACTGGATCATGGGGGTGGTTTTTTCCGTGCCATTCTCATGATAGTGAGTTCTCAGGACATCTGATGGTTTAAAAATCTGTGATAGTTTCTCCTTCGATCTCTCTCCCTGCTGCATGCAAGACGTGCCTTACTTCCCCTTTGCCTTCCTCCATGCTTGTAAGTTTCCTGAGGCCTCCCCAGCCATGTGGAACTGTGAGTTAATTAAACCTCTTTTGCTTATAAATTAGCCAGTCTCGGGTAATATCTTTATGACAGTGTGAAAATGGTCTAATACTGTACTGAATAATAGAAAATATTTGCCTACCGTAATATCTGACACAAAACTGTTATGTGGAATGTATAAAGAATTCTAGAATGACTTAACAAAAAAGCAAATAAAATTTTTAAAAGCAAAATACTCAAATTTGAAAATGGATAGAACTATGAGAAGACATTTCACTGAAGCAGATATACTGAGATAAATAGGCACATAAAAAGATTTCCAACATCACCACCCATCAAATGTCAGACCTCAGCACATTCTGCTTTCTTCATGTGAACCCCTGGATGCCATCAGAGAGAATGGGAAACCCAGGAGCTTCTACTCAAGGGTCCAAAATGTTTGGTGATGTGTATTAGCAACCTGTAATTGTTTTTGGAAATGAACAATGAGAACATAGATATAAAAAATATTCTCAGCTCAACAAATATGCACTGTCATTATCATTATTAGTGATTTT